GTAGTAACGTCTCTGACTGTGAAGCTGCGTGAAACGAGATCGAATCCGCCGGAGAGCACCAGTTCCCTCAAGATTACAGGTACACCTTGCTAACGGGTGCCAAGTAGCACGAAACCCGGGTCCAAGGTTTCCTGTTGACTACCTCCAACCACTATCTAAATCTCAGATTCCTGTTACATGCTTTACCGGTTGTGCAGACAAGGATTAAAGTTTATTCTATCAAACACCTTTGGAATTTGAACCGGTTGGATGCCATACTGAGTACTACTGGCAGCTGAGAGACGGTTATTCCTGTCATTGTCGTTGCATTTCGTTATTGGAGTCCCGTATCGAGGACTACATATTAGTTTTAAGGTATTTCAATGAGCGTTACATATCACACTGACTTCGTCTTCATTATTTTTTAAGATCGCTAGCTAGGTCCTTGGAACTACACTGAACTCTTTTCCAGTTGTTATATCGTTCTCAGCAAAGTCGTGAGAATAGGGATTATCAGTAAACGCCGAGCGGTTAACGGAATTTCCTCAAGGTTAACAGCAAAAGATGCAACGTGAATAACAGATTGTGTGGGGTCAGGAAGTAAAACGGCGTTGTTTTTTCCTTTCTATTCTATTCCTTTTTATGTTTTCACACAAGTATAATTTTGTCTGTTAAAGGAACAGATCAGCCTGGTCCCAAGGCTAGGATGATGCAGACAAGGGAGTCAATGTATGATACATCTTCCGCTTGTTCCCATTTAATTTAACCATACACATCTTTCTAGTTGACACAAAAACTGTGTAAGACTACGAATATGGCACGAAAAATAAACCCACTGATTAAGTAAAGTATAATCCTATATAATTTTACAGCACTCAGAATACATTTCGGTGATTTTCATGGCAAATGAAATTAATTCTTCAGTTGTTATTCAAACTCAATAATTTATTTAAAAGGTTACAAAAGACGATTTTGCAGATCTCCCAAAATGTCGCACAATTACTCAGCTATTTTAGAAATTACCAAAATGATATTATCTTATATTTTGTAGCAATGCTTCTGGTTGTGACTATGTTTTCCAGTCTTTTACTCTTTCTTGGAGTAGCTAGACTGTTCTTACTCAAAAATAATCTTATTTGACTTCTTTGAACTCAAAACCGCTATTTTATTTGCCTTTTGTGTATTTGTAGCTTACTGACTATTCCAAATAGCCTGAAATAAAAATCAAGAGCTGGAAAATCAGCTGGTTTAAAAATGGTTTAAAATGGTTGTGGACGGAATAGAAGAAACTTTCGCTTAATAGGCTTCCGTGTCTAGTAGCAGGGGATCACGAATAACTCCAGGCAGGAACCTAGGTATGTTAACGATAAAAGAGGAAAAAGAAGTTGGTAAATCACAGTATGATACTATCCTTAGACCATAAGAATAGATCAAGTTGCCTCTTAAATGACTCCTGGGAAGTCGCTTGAACTAGCGGATTCCAGCATTTGACAACTCTGAAGGAGTAGAAGTTATGACTACAGTCCGTTCTGCTATGTTGTGTCTCCAATTTCTGGGTGTTACCCCTTAGGTTGGTATTGGGACTAAGCTTTAATAGGTGTTTGAGAAGATGTCCAGAAGTGTTAAGAATACTGTAGGCCATCAGAAGGTCACCTCTAAGACGTCTATACTCTAATGGGTAAAGGTCAAGTGATTGAAGGCGTTCTTCATAAGGTTTGAATTTGAGTCCCCGAACTGACTTCAAGGCTCGTCGTTGAATACGCTCCAGAGTGTCCTTATCCTTTTGGAGTGAGGGAGGAAATACTATGTTTCCGTACTTTAAATGGGAACGGATAAAACTGTTGGAGATAATATATGGAAAGTTTTGATACCCAATCGTTTGAGCTTATTGATAAGGCATAAATGGTTAACCCTATCAAAAGCTTTTGAGAAATCAAGGTGAACGATATCAACCTTCTCCCTGCAATCAAGGATGGTTGTCCATCTATCCACCTTAGTCAGCAGGTTGGTGATACAAGAGTAACCCTACCTAAAACCATGCTGTTGGGGTGAGAAGAAAGTTAAGGACAGTTAATAGTCATATATACCATCTCATATCAGGGACTTCATGATTTTTGAAGGTATAGAGAGAAGAGCCACTGGTTGGTAACTTGATGGTTCGCTGCGTCGACCTCCCTTGAAAATTGGTGTGATGTGATCCAGCTTCCAAATTTCTGGTAGTTTGCCTCGGCTTAGTGAGTGTAAGAACATCACTTTAAGCGGTGTTGCCAGGATTGAGGCTTCTTCCCTCCGAATAGCAGAATGAACCATATCTTCGCCAGGAGGAGTGTCTTTCCTTAGGTGCTGCAGTTCCCGGAACAGCAAGTCGGCGCTCAGGTTCATTTCGGAAAGTCCTGTGCAGTTGCGAATGAAGCTGTCCTCAGTATAGCTGCTGTGTGCCGGTTGAAATGTCCGGAAGTATTGTTCAGCCAAAAGCTTAGCGGCATCGATGTCGTTGTTTGTTGGGACATTAGGACCTAGCAGTTCGAAAACTCCAGTTATGGCTTTTCGAAGTGAGGCAGCATGACTGAATAAGCTTTTCGGACTGGAGGCGAATTTATCCATAAGCTTTATCTAGTGCTGAAGCCTGTCTTCTCTTATAGCCTTCGTGCATATGTTCCTTATATGTTTGTATTGCCTGTACGCGCCGTCGTTATCAGTTCGTTTGTGTTCTGCCCAATAGTGCCTTTTGAGGCTTAGAAAACGAAGAGTGCGGTTCTTGATAACTGTAGGTTGCTTGTAGCTGTTGGGGACCGTTTTAGGCCTAGTTTGTAGCACATGAGAGCGTGATCAGTAAGAAGTCCCAATGAGTATCCACATCGAGTTGATGGTGAACACGTCAATCCACCTGTTGTAGATAGTCCTGTAAAACTGACAGATTCAACCGTTTGAAATTCCAGCGCATGTTGTTGGTGGGATAGCTTAGTTCATTTTTGTTATGAAGGCGTGATCGCTTTTCCCCAGGGAAGCCAGGATTGGGAGGTTGTCAATGAGGAATTCTTTTTTTGTAAATACCCAGTCTAAGTGCGACAGTATCTGACTGCTTCTCCAACGAGTTGCCGACCTCACATTTTCGTATAATCCCACTTCCTTATTGAGTTTGGAGAAGCGAGCTTCAGTTGAGTTTTCACCTCCAATATACGTATGTTCCGCGAAATTGACTCTAGGGAGATTGGAGTTCTCTAGAATCAGGATATGAGTAAACAGGAGACAAGTAGTGAGGGATAGTCCCTTCAGCATATGACTGTCATACTCGATGTCAGCAATGGGCTTCCTATACATGACTCCGACTAGGCATCTCGAAGCAGTAGACAACCTTACAGAGCACCATATGGATTTCTCAAGATTGTTAAACCCTTGGTTGTGAACTTGGTGTACCTTCAGACAGGATCGTATGTATACGGCTACTCCACCCCCAATTCCTGTCATTGCAAAACAAAGACATCCCAGGTAATTGCTAGCTCCTGGTCCGAGAACTGAGAAGATGTCCAAGTTTCAGATATTCCCATCACATGAGCATAAGTAGCATTGCTAAGTTCACGTAGCTCATCCATTTTGTTTGATAGACTCGCGGCGTTCATGTATAAGCCGTTTATGCTTTCAATTTGAAACGCATGAGTTTCTTCCTGTTTGCCTGTATGAACCTTACGGGAATGGACAGGTAGCCTACCTAAATAAGGTTTGCCGAGTTGGTAGGCCCTGTCCTTTACACGTTTTTTTATCATCAAGACAGTCCACAAGTGGAATGGTCATCTTCAACTTATCTTAGTGCTTGAACCTGGCGTCGTCTTTGACGTTCATAATTATGAGAGAGTCATCACGAACGGTCATTGCTTTCCCAGGTTTTCCGGTGCGTTCCGGTTCAGCACCTGTTGTTTGGAGGTTGAAGCACGTTTCTGAATCCTAGGCTCTTTGATGACCGGAATTACGTTCTTGGGGGTAGACTGTGCGACCAAATCACCAGTTGGTTTCCGTACAAAACTTGGGATATTCAGCTTAGACTGTGACACCCGGTTCTTTTTAGCTCTATTGACGTGGGTCCAGTCACTTACAGGGTTTTTGGGAACCACTGTTGCATTCAAGGACCCTGAGCTGAGAGACCCGAGTTTACTGAGGGAGTCTATTACCGTCGACGTGATGATGGTGCTGAGTTTCAGCATGTCATCATTTGTGCTAATGCATGCTCCATCGATGGTAGACATGTCGACGTCCCGATTCTTGTTACCGTTGCGCCCCCTTGTTTGTCTACCCGTTTTATGAATGTCTTTTTCCAAGTTTGCTGACAACTTACTCTGCAGACCTGTCAATAGGACAATGATATTACCCAGCAAGAAAACAGCATCCGTGCTGCACGTAACACATTCCCACTTATGATCCGACTTGCTGAGTCTGTTGTAAGCAGTTGCTGTGAAATCTGTGCACTCTTCGTGGAACCAACCTTTGCAGTTGTCGTACAGCATGCTAGATGTAACAGCGAAACGGCATCCAGGTCATTTGCATGAACTGTTCATGATTATATTGACGTAAGTTGTGTTATAAATGCTAGTAAAAGCCCAAGATCATAAAAATACACTGAAAAGCACACTAAAAACGAGCAAAAATAAATCAAAACGGATGAGGTAAACTGAACTAACTTTACATAAAAAACTGAAAAAAGCCGAATAATAAACTGGGGAAAACCATCGTTAACTAGTAAATTGAGTGAAACTCAAAAAAAGTTATCTACCAAACGTATAGCTCAGAATAGATTCTTTTGATGAGAAATGGTACTTTTGTTGCCTAAGAACACAGCAAAAGTTTGATAAATACAAATCAGTTAGGACTAAACTTTCTGTTCAAAAAGTGGGCTCATTGCATATAAACTGAAGGAATAACGGAATATTACAAATCTTATTGGCTGAGTGTGTGTCTCGCGTGAAAAATCGATTTAGACTCACTGTTCACTGGATTTTGTTTTACCAAATCAATAGTCATAAAACCGAAAGTATTATTCAAATTTAACGGGTTAAAAAGTGCAATTGGTTTTCGTACCCACCTAATCACAAAAGTAATTGTTAGAAGTTGTGAACACATGTTTCTTGAAAGTAATAACCCGAATGTGGAAAATTCGGTTTCTACCCAGTTTTATTTTTCAATATTTGTCATGCATTTCTGTAGTTATGAAAAATCTAGACGTCATTATACTTATGCGAAGCAGTATTTCTGTTTTTTTCTTTACTGATCTTGAGCTCATTGAACACTTGAAGTTAGAGGGACATTCTTGTTTTATGTTTGCTTTATTTTTGAAAGGAATGAGTTCAAAATGTCGTAGTGTTCTACAGCTGTAAATTTTTTATTCGCATGTCTTAATGAATCTCAGGTCACTTTCGAATTACTCTTCCATAACATATAGTTAGGAACTCTTTCCAGGTTTTCAGAACTTAGGATTTTTTGGAGCGCCTCCGGTGGACTTTGAAATATTCTACTTAACAGCCCCTTCAAGGCTAACATATGTAATTCCCCTATATCATGCTCTAGTAAATCCTATTCTCAGTCCTTTCATATGAACAAATGTCGGATACTGGCACAAAACACCATTCAAAGACATCAAATATTGGTGCGTGGTGTGAAGACGGGTCTATGATTCCTGGATCGTCTATAAAAGCCCATGTTGATTTTGAATAATATTTGTTTTTGTACAGCCTTCAGTTCGTTATACTTTATTTAAAGACCTAGTGCTTCCGAGAACCGAATAGCTGGTGACTAGTCGATGAACAAGTCATATTGCGTGCTTAACCGTAATTACTGTGTATCATCTCTAATCGTATATCACTTTATATGTTCGAAAACGCGACAGAACAGCAGGTTAGTGATCATGATGTATGAATGCAAAAATGCCAAAATTCATATATAGGATACCAACTAACAAAACTTTTCTACTGACGCACCATGAAGATGCTTTCAGACCCCTAACACCCGAGGATGTACAGGTCTTGATGGAATCTGGTGTCTGTTTAAAAATATGTAGTTTTAGACCTTTAAACTAAGTCGCTTCGTTGTATTACGTTGTAGCTGTGTTATACCTTAACTTCGTTTAAATGTGTGAAATCCCACATTTTAGTTTTTTTGGCTTAGGTTCATAAAATCTTTAAATATATTTTCGCTACAAATATGTCAGTTAAATGCAAAAAGTGTCTGTTACACAAAATACCTATGACAGAGTTTGTCTGGCCACAAGTTTCAGAATATATTTCATTCATATGTGATCTTATGTGATGTCATTCAATATTTGGACAGTATGTATGCCATTACTTTCGTAAGAAGTGCCATTATACTTTTGAAGTCTTTGTGTTACAGAGAATTCTGTTGTATGCGATACTAATATCAGTTAAACCAACGGGTCTTTTCTCAAGACGTAATCAGAGATTATTTAGTATGACATCCTTTTTCCAGACACTCGATGCGCATACACTGACTCAAAAGGATCGGATTAAATATTTCTTTTTCAAAATTAAAATCTTTGAAGTTTACTGCCATGCAAAATTTGTTACGGAAAATTTTATTGGTCATTAATTTCCTATGTCTGATTCATACTTTCTAAATCCACTAATAGTTAAAATAAAGATATTAGTTGAAATTATTTTATAAACAGATTTACGTACGTTTTGAGTAAAGCATTTCTTGGTGGGTTGTTTTATATATTGTTTTGATTGTTTTACATGCAACACCTTTACGAAAAGCAACATTGTTACTATTCTTGCACTGATAATCATCGTTTATAAAATTTATATATGATACAACTAATTGTATACACTCTCACTGTTGATCATAGCTGTTATGTAGTATTTAAACACTTTCTAGTACCATTTGTCAGACTTTAAATGTTTAGTACTAATTTTGTAGAGAAAGTATTAGCCAGTTTATTTTCCTTGAAAAGTAATTTGATTTGGAGCCGTATATAGAAATGCAAGTTGAATAGTCCAATAAAGCAAAATTTTGTTGCAAGAACTTTTTCTCCCTGGTTCAAACATACTATTGAGTCTGAAATCATCGTCTGGAACATGTTTTCAAATAACCAAATTCTTAGTTTTGGTTAGAAAACTGCAAAGACTTGTATGAAAATAATCTGCCAGAACGTGTTTAAAAGTGGCAAATAATTACTTTATAGCTCTGTATTCTTTATTTATCTGAAACAGGAGCTTCAACAGTTTTATCGCATACTTCAAATAATTATTATCCCTTAAAAATTTTATAGTCTGAAAACTAATATTTTTAACAAAAGATATAAAGTCAGTTGTTGCTATAAGTCGCATGTGGATTAAAAGCACAATTTATTTAAAATATTGAAGTTCATATCAGTGAAAAGTGAAAACTTAGAACTGGTGGCTTCTTGACACAAAATAATTTAATATTAAATGAAGATTTATGCCATATATTTTCCTTTATGAGACTGTTCAAGCGATTTAATTCTCAGATATAGGACATTGCACATAGAAGTCAATAAATGATTTTTAATACTAGATGCTTATAACTGTGGTATTCGGTTTCGTAAAGTACGAGTTTTCAGGTGCACAAATTTCTTCGTCGACTGATAAAATGTGAAATTTCGTAACAATATTTTTACAGTACGTTCAGAATTGGATAGAACTGGAAGTCAAACAGTCTACTGGTATGGAATCTGATGATAGCTGTAAAATAGCCTCGGTAATTACAAGAGCAGATACCAAGTCTGATTTATCTGATAATCAGACCATTGATTGGAGTAATCATCAAAATCTAAGGAAAAAAAACTATCCAAGTTGTGATGGTTGCCTATCAAATGTAGAAGTATTATCAGATAGTTGTTTGAACAAACGATTTCACACTTTTTCACTAAAGCTAAGAGGTGAGTTACTCTGTTCAGATTTCAATCGTTTTACCTAGAGCAAGGAAAGAAGATTAAACTCCTGGAACAAGAGCGAATCGGCTTTTTGGAACAAATAGCCAATCTCTGTTCATCTTTAGAAAAAAAGCAACAAGAGTTGGTTGATGTTTTGAAACTTTCGGAAGAAAAAGCAAAATACCACGCTCATTATATGACTGAGGTTTGTTTGTAATTCCCTATCGATTTTTGTCATGTTTGCATTTCTGTCGCATATAGTGTATGTAAGTAGATTAACTGTCTACACAGGCGTAGTTGTTTTATATTTATCTGATTGTTCCACCATGGATACTCACAGTGCTTGATCACGATAGGATCACTCATTAATTCATTGTATTACAATGGTATCCATATTTTTAATTGGTCTCTATTCTTAGCCAACTTTGCATATGACACAGGTGAATCATCACCTGTTTCCATTTAAAATTTCAGGAAGCATGCGTATGGGTCCATTTAAAATGAGATGAAAAACTGAGTTTTAAGTTAAGCAAATTTTGGATTTTAGGTTATTAGGCACTACCATTTATTTCACTTTATGACGCGTTATACCACCCCATGAGGTATATAATCTGAGTATGGACACAAAATTGTTACAGAGAAGTTGACTATACATAGAGAAAAGCCTAAATATACGTCAGTTAATGGATAAGGTGTATACCGAAATTATTGTTTTTAAGATGGTCTAATAATGTTTTGACGTGCGGAGTTTTTTCGTCACTGTAAGTTTAGAGGTTAGAAGGGCGCTAGTAAACTGAGCAAACTAAGTTTCGATTTTAGTTTCTAGAACGTATCCTGTTATTACATCTCAGCACATCGAAAGATTATATGCTTCAGTCAAAAATCAGTTCGTAGGTTAACTTATGAAATTAAATTATAATTGAGTTCTTATCAACTCTTATTCTGTGATTTCTTTTGCACTGTTGGAATAAAATAAAAAACAGGTTAGTAGTCTACTAGCCGAACTGAAAACACTATTTTTAGAGCATTCAAACTGTTTTAATCCAGGAAATCAGGCTTTAATAGATCAGGGTGAATTTGGGAATAAGAATGAAGTTTCAAATAATACCGATACTGAAAACGTACAATTGAGTTCCACTATTGGTTCAGTGAAAGGCGCTTGCTGTTCAGAATCTCAGCAAGATCATCGTGGCCGCGCTCTAATTAATGAACTATCTGCTACAGTAAGTACTGTCAAAAATATGAACAGCAAAAAATTGATAAAACACGATCCTTCTCCACAAACCCCACATATATTTGGTAAGCATTCTTTTATAATTTCTTATAAATTTCGTAGTTTTTTTCTTTTATGTATTATAAGAGCTGGTAAACTAAAATGTAATTAATTCGAATTATTGAAAGTGACTTTTAGTGTATAATTTACATTTTGTAGGTAAACGAAATGTAAACTATTTGAATATTCAAAAAGCACTCTTAAAGATATGAATCAAAAAGGGAAATAACTAAATCTTTGCATAATGGCCAGCAGTGACAACAGAATAAAGAGCTACTGTGTCCTTTCTGTTGAAGTTAAATTTGGGCTATGTTATCAAGAACATCTGTTAATTGAATTCCATATACCACATGCTCCTCCAAAAAGTCCTTAATTGCCTTCGTGACCATAACCGACCGGTACAGTATCTTGAACTGATCACTTTTAGCATTCTACTATATCTGAGTAAAGTGAACAGTCTGACCTTTTATAAAGGTTGAAATCGGGTATAGAGTGAAAAAATTTCGAATTTATTTTCATAATCTGTCATTATATCTATAACCATTAGAATTTACTCATGACACTTGTCGAACGTCTTAACCGTTGTTGATTAAAAATAGTTATGTCTTTTCATATACACTGACGGGTTGGTGATAACAATGTAAATTAAATATTGTAGTTACGTAAGGTGCAATAATTCTGGATATGAAAGTCTAGGATACAGAATATAGTGTAACAGAGTCTAAGATAGTTTCACATTCTTTGATGTCTCCATCAAAACGTTGTAGTGTTTGGAGATGATTATAGCATCATGGCATGTCTTTTGTACCAAGATTTCTCTTTGGCATCCATGCAAAATAAAGAGTACCGTGGGAAACTGTGACTTTTTAAAGAAAAAGATTTTAGAAGCTGATGATATCTCGAGGAGAGGCTTGCAAGCGAAATAATGTGTGCTAAAAGTAGGTACACTGTAGAATCTCTTAAAGCAACAGCTTTGAAATATTTTTTATTATCTCTCAAAATTACTTATAACGTAAACAGATCTTATTATAAAACTGAAATAAACAGTTTAACTGAATTTGTTTGTTTTGTTGATCTCCTGTTAATTTCTAATCTACATATATTTGCACTCCTTGACTCTAAGTTGGGATGTCTCCATTAATTTGATGTGTGTCTTACTCCTCGCAGAAACGTTTCCCATAAGCAATGTCTTCACTGCACAATTTGTTTACTTGAAAAATATGCAAACTGCCTAATTAGTTAGTGCAATATTTTATTTCAAAGAATGTTTAGCTTGAAATAATTAATTTGCTCTTTAGACTATTATTCCTGCATTGTTTATATATATATATATATATATATATATATATATATATATATATATATATATTTGCAGAGACAGAAGGAAATCTCTGACTGAGTTACATTACTTTCATGGTAGTATACGTTTGAATGTTGTCTTCTAAACAAAGACTAGTGAGAAATCCAAAATTAACTATCACCTCACTATATAATCATTAGTAGTCTGGAGTTTAGTTGGAGTCTCCTTTTCCATCAGTTTTTAGTTTTCCTTGTTTTAATTTATGATAGTTTGAGTTGTCTGGTAGATTCAAGCGAAGGAAACTTGAATATAGTGTTCAGCGAAACTGAAAAGTCTTAAGAAATCGGTGGCTGATTTTTTGTTCAAATTAATTTATATTTTAATGCCTCTACTATAGCATTTTAGAATTTGTGAACTGTTTAAAATCAACTGTGTAGCCCTTCCTAGGTGTAGAAATTGCTGTGTTAACAAAGGTTATTTTATGCAGTCAACTGGTTCAACACATAGTTCTATTTAAATCATTTGTAAAGGTTTTTAACTTAACTATCATAAAATTTTAGTCAAGCGTGATGATTTCTAAATCATAGCCACAATTCTGTGGTTTTAGGAAGATATTCTCATAGTTTTAAGATATTTTCCTTCACTTCTTACTGTTTCTCTTTGTAAAGAGACTTTTTTCTCAATATTGAGTTTCATTCGAAGAATTCTGAACCTGTTTAAATAATAATATTCCTAGTGAGTGTACACCTTTACGTTCTACATTTACTTTACTTAAGCCTATTGTATTTACAACTTAGCATTAATCTTAGTTTTTTCCGTCAGTAATTAATCTATATACAATATCGTTTTTCGTATTCACTCCTAGCACAAAATATAAATGGATAACATTTAGCGTCAATAACTTGGTCGTTTGACCTTCAAAAATACTTATAATAGGGTTAAAAATCTTTGTATTACTCTGTTTTCTTTCGTTTTCTTTAGTATCTTTGTTTTTATAGACAATATTAAAAATTTTATGGAATTCGCACACGAGACCGAAAGTCCTGGTTATGAGTCCCGCGTGTGTAGTCGTGGATGAGCATTATTGAGGGGTCACATACTAAAACGAAACGGCCGTTTAGCGCTTTCAGTTTTCAATGGTGGTCTGACATTGATCCATTCATGATATCAATCTAAACTCAACAACCTCCACAACACTATACTTGTAATTCTAAAGCTACCAGCCGGACCTTCTAAATTATTTTTATTGATAAAATTTAGTTTTCAGTCAGTCAGTCAGTAACAACGTAGAACTTCGTACGTACGTACATCAGTTCGAGTTGCCACACCACATTAGCACAGAGATGCAGTGGTCGATTCAAATCCCGTAGTGGTAGAGGTAGCAAGAGTATAAGCAGTAATCGGGAAGATTAGGGTTTGGAGATGTTATATAAAGAGTATAATCCAGTGAAAGAAATTTGGAAAGAGGGAAAAAGGGACATGAAGAATTCAGAAGATTAGAGTTTGGGAGAACACAGAGAGTGGATGCACCTGCGCCATTGCGAACGATTTTGAGCCATGTCATTCAGGGTCTCTAACCATCGGTTGCTGTCATCTCGCGGTCCCCAACCAGGTAGTCTACACCTACCAACATGACTCAGTTCACTTGTCAGTGACTTCATGGACTTGTGCCATGTTTTGGTTTGGCCGCCCCTAGCTTTCTTCCAACCTACTCCTATACCACAAAACATCGCACGTCGAGGCAGTCGGTCGTTGGGAATACGTAACACGTGTCCCAGCCATCTCAACTGATGAAGTTTCACTACGTCATCAATTGATTTGCCATCCTTACCTAGTACCCGTTTCCTAACAACTGTGTTACTTACTCGATGATCCCATGATATACGAGCAATGTTTCGAAGACACCTATGATCGAATACTAGTAACCTACGGATATCCTCTACTCTTACCGGCCATGTTTCACTGCCATAAAGTAGGACGGAACGAACTGCTGCGCAGTAAACACGTCCTTTGGTTGATAGACGGATATCTCTCCTACGCCATAAATGACGCAAGTTGGCAAAAGCTAGTCGAGCCTTCTGAGATTTCGTCACACACTAAACCACAAGGGCTGATGAGACTTCCAAGATAAGTGAAGTGGTCGACACACTCAACTACTTCACTCCCTATCACTAGTTCGGGTGTCGATGTAACCCAATCCTGAAGCAACATTTTGCATTTCGAGGGAGAGAATCGCATGCCGAACATGCTTGCATTGTTGCTTAGAGTGGTCAGAAGACTCTGCATTTTGTCAGCGTCTTCACCAAATAAAACTATGTCATCAGCATATTCTAAGTCAACAAGTGAACCTCCTGGTAGAAGTTCAACCCCTGTAAATTTAGATGAGGAAAGTGTTATCTCTAAAAGTACGTCAATGACAAAGTTGAACAAGAATGGGGAGAGTGGACAGCCCTGACGAACACCACTTGAGGTAATCAATTCTGATGACAGTTCGCCATAAGCTCTCACTCTACCAGTTGTGTTCGAGTAGAGAGCCTTTATAAGGTTAATGTACTTCTTTGGTACTCCTTTCAGTGACAAACACTGCCATAGAACCTCACGATCAACAGAGTCGAATGCCGCCTTAAGGTCGAGAAATACTACGATTGTGGGGCGTCTGAATGTGTGTCTCTGTTCTAGAACCTGACGTAGTGTGAATATCTGATCTATACAACCACGTCCAGGTCGAAAACCAGCCTGGTTTTCTCTAGTCTGCTCTTCACGAGCTTTAGTTAGGCGTCGAAGTATTATTGAAGCCAATATTTTAGACACTATATTAGTCAAACTGATTCCTCTGTGACTGCCACAAGAGGACTTTTGTCCTTTCTTAAAAACTGGCACAATCAGTGATTGAGACCAGTCAGATGGGATTACGTCCAGTTCCCGAATTCTACCTAAGACCTCAGTTAATCTCACTGCTAATACTGAACCCACCATCCTTAAAAATCTCAGGAGTAAACCTGTCAGGGCCTACTGCTCTCCCTCGTTTCAGATTTCCTATGGCTTTTTCAACTTCGTAAAGGAACGGAGGACTTACATTAACTTGCCATTCAGGTTGACTGGAGATCGTGGGAAACCGAAGTGTGGCTGAAGGCCAGTTGAACTGATCCCTAAAGTGTTCTACCCATCGATCCAATCTCCTGGATTGAGAATGTATAATATGTCCATCTTTCTCTGAGAGTGTTTCGCTAACAGTCGGTTTCCTTAACAAGTCTGAACAGTTGTCTGCTATTACCTATTTCCGCTGCCTTTTCCATCTCTCTTGCTTCCGCTACCCACCACTGTTCACGATCATTGCGTAGACTTCTTGTCAGCTTGTGCTTAAGCTGACTCCGCTCTTCATTATGTTCAGAGCCAGGAGGAATGAGTTTCCGAGCATCTATCAGTGCGATAGATGCTGCTGAGATCCAGTGTTGCTCCCTAACCTTACGGGTTACCGTACTTGCAGATATCACTGCTGTTTCCACAGCTTTTCGTATATCATTCCATGCTGCATCGGGGTGGGCATCACATACATGGCTGCCTAACTGTTTTCTTAGTTGTTCCTGAAATATACTCTTAGCTTGACTATCATTAAGTAGGGCCCTAAGAGGTTTACTTGCAGTGTCTTTCCTACGTCCAGTAAGACGCAGACAGATACGCACTCTTACTAGAGCATGATCTGAATCTAAGCATGTGCTCCAGAAT